CTTATATTGTATTATTTTAGTATAGATATTTTAGAGTAGAGAAAATCATTGTAAACATTCACCTCTAAGTGAAGTACTATAAGAAGTAATTATAGCGAAAAATACTTTTAAATAACTTTGTAGCTAAGAATATTAGCTACATAATGATATAAGTTACATCCGAATTTATTATGTAATATCTGGAGAAAACATAGGCTGTAGCAAGAAAATACTGTGCCAAAACTGTGCTGAACTATGCTGAATACTGTGCTGAACTGTGCTGAATACTTTGCCGAATACTGCCCAAAACTGCGCCAAATACTGTGAAAATACTATATTAGACTGTGCTAAAAGACTGTGCTGGACTGTGCTAAACTGTGCTAAGTACTGTGCCTATTACTGTACCAAACTATTAATAGTAACACTTAACTGTTGCTTGTACGAACGATTAAGTAACACTTGCACAAGATGCTTACATGACGCTTTGCTGACACTTATACAATGCTTGCTAAAAGTTATAAATACAAGTAGAATTCTCCCTCTTGCCCTTTAGTTGTTTAGACCTCAACTCCCCCTTCCCTCTTATACTTGACTCTAAATATTTATAATTAAATAAATATATTGTTATTAAATAAACCTAAACAAACTACCTCTTGTAGAGTAGAATTTGTCTTTACAATTAATTAAAGAAACTTCCCTTTTGGACACTGCTTCTTAAAGTAATTAGATAGCCATATTATTATTACTTATAGTATACTAAGAAGGCTATGCTATCTGTAACATTTAGTGCCTTCTGGCGAACAGCCAAAAATATTAGCGGAAAAGCTAAAAATATTGATAGAAAACTAAAGAAATATTGCTGAAAGAAAACTATTGAGGAAGAAACATTCCCTTACTTAAAGAAGACAGAGTACTTTACTTATTGGAAGTAAAGAGTAAGAACTCCAAAGTGAATTACCCACAAGCCAAAGTGTAGGTGTAAGAAATCCATTCCCAAATGAAGAATTCCTAGATGACAAAATACTTGGAAGTAACATACTCGGAAGATAACAAGAAGATAACCAGATGAAATATTCCTGGACAACAAAAAATAAATAAACTATTGATTAATGAAATCTCTTAGGATAAAAGAAGAACTCCTACTAAGTTATTCGAATTATACTATACAACAATTTTACCAAGAAGCTATTCAAACTTATTGTGAAGAACATTTAACTGAAGACTACAGAGCTGACTTAGTTATTCAAGCACTTGTACCTAATACTACTTGTATTAACTGCTACCTAACAAGAAGAACAAGCTGACGCCAACTTTTTGGAAGATTTTAAAACTGGTACTAATAAACCTACAATACTTTAACCTACAGTAGAAAAACTCAAAACTTATTCCATAATCTAGGCTAAATATATAATTCAACTAGTGCCAGAACTCTTTATCGAGATATTATATTCAGCTGCACTTATCAAGATAACAACTACAACTCTTGAGAAATTATAAGTCAACTCTTTGCTCGATATACTCACTACAACTTACCTACTCTTGACTCTACATACTATAATTAGTATGATTATTACCTTGAATCGGAATACTACTCCTATTGGCAAAACCCCTGTGCAACTCAGACATACTCTGAACTAGAAAGTCCTCAAACATTAGTTGATATACTATTAATATTTGAAGATCTCATCATACCTCCTCCACTTCTTAATCTACCACCACTCATAAACCTTTTTCCTCAACAACAACAATCTGCTATAGCTGAAGCTGCTTTAAATGCTACTGCTACAGCTATGACTGATCTTACTAACACTTTAGAACAAGGATCTGAGAAGAGCCTCATTAAGGTTGAATACTTTTTAGGAGATAGAACTTAAGACCTAGAAGAATGGTTTGAAGAATTCAGAAGAGCTGCTGCTACCAACAGATAGAATAATAATAGAAAACTTGAACTTGTCTCTGTCTTCCTCAAAGGAGTTGCCCTTGATTAGTTTACTACTCTTAACTCTGTTCCTAATGTTTTTGATGATAGTGCTCATTGAAACTGAAGTTTCAAATATCTCTTTAGAGAAAGATTCTATACCTCTAAACAGAAAGCTATCTGGCAAAAACAATTCTTTGAGATTAAACAAGGCAACGATACTGTGGATGCATACATAAATAGATTTAAAGAATTGAAAAAGAAAATCAATAGAACAAATGCCTTTCTTGTTACTTTTGTTATCCAACTTTTTATCCAAGGCCTATGTCCTGAATATGCTATTAATATACAAGCTTCAGAGCTTGCTACTCTAAATGCTACTATAACTAGTACTAAAAGATAGGAAACTGGATATGTAATGGCATCAAACAAGAACAATGAAACAGACTAAGCTATCAAGACTTTAACCGAACAAATTGCTCAACTAAGTATTAATCTTGCACAGAAACAACCTACTATCAAAGAGACCAACTATATCGAATTCTCTAGACCTTATAAATCTTAAGCTACCTACTATTATTGTGGTAAAAATGGACACTTTATTGCTTATTGCCAAACAAAAAGGAATGACCAATGTAAAGGAAATAGAAATCAAAGATATAACCATGATAACAACTAAAGATATTATTCAAACAATAACTCAAGAGAAAGAGCCTCAAGATCCTCTTATCGAAGATCTGATAACCAATGGGAAAGAAGAGATCGATCACAAAGTCAAGAAAGAAGTTATCGAAACTGGAATAGAGACAACAGAAGCTGAAGTCACTCAAGAGAATCTGACCAAAAGAATAAATATCAAAGAGTCTCATCTCCTTACCCTAGAAATATTAACTATTTAGACAATGACAAAGAAGATGATCAAGAACCCCAAATGATTCAAGATCAATGGGAAGCCTTTCTTGCTAATACTTCTATTAGAAATGCTCTCTCTGCATACTTGTATAAAGAAGCCAAAAATAAAAATTTATTACTACAACATGTCACTCCTGTCAAGTGTAATATGCAAATTAAGAACCAACCCTACCAAGTGATAATTGATAGTAATGATGCTGTGAGCATGATTGCTCATAGTGTTATCAATAGGGTAGGAGGCACAGGTCTCTGGGCATGCTTATAAGGCATGCCTAGAGGGGCATGCCTGGGGCATGCCTTTAGGCCAGAGGGCATGCCTATATCATGTGATCATGGAAAAGATTTCACGCGTATGATTGGTTAATATAAATCTAATAATTCACCTTTTATTTCATAAAAACGTTAATATTGTCTGCTGTTATTACATAAAACAATCTCAAAATCAAATTACTTTACCTAAAATTCAAATGATTGTTAGCAATATTAATACTACAAACTTACTAAAAAAAATTAGAACGTTTAATACAAGTTTAGAGATCTTTATTATAGTAAATCTATTATCGTTAATAATAACTAATATATATTGTATGAATTTAATATTATAGAAATCAAATTCTGAAATCATTAGTGAAATGCATAAATGAGGTTTATATTAAGTAATAATGATCTTATTTTCTGATTCAAATACACATATAATTATGTATGTTTGATACTAAACGAAAGCTATTTATATTGCATAAGCAAAACTTATTATATGATTTATATACTAGAGGCATACCCAAGGCACGATAAGTAGGGTATGCCTCAGTTTAAAGCATGCCCAAAAATTTTACCATGCCTCCTACTTTAGTTGTCAAAGAGCTAGGACTGAAAATTGAACATGCCTCTACTAGTCTTATTGTATCTGCTGTTGGAACCTTTACACGACCACTTGGAATTATTAGAAACCTCCCTATAGAGATTGAAGGTGCTCGCATACCTATTACTGTTGAGGTAGTACTTGCTACTTCCTACTCACTATTACTTGGAAATAATTTGTCTAAGAAGATTAAGGCCAACTATAATTGGGCTAACAGATACTACTCATTTAAATGGAATAACAAGAAATATTCGACCACTACTACTTATGAATCAAACTGACCCTTACCTAAACAGCTAACAATTACTGACCTAAAGGATTTAGAAATTTTTGACCAAGAGTACTTAACATCACAAGAGTTATATTCTTTTGAAATAAAAGAAACACCTATAATTGATGATAACCAAGAATAGCAAATTCAACCTCCACGTAAATACACTCATACTTATAAATCTTGTTCTATCGTTAGAGGTCCTATTTCTGGTTGTGACTCTTTGTCTATAGTATAAATCTCTGTTTCAAATGAAAAACTTTTAGGCTCTGTTTTATCAGGTAGTTTTTTATCCTGCTTAGGATTCTCTAAAAATTTAATTTGTTAGCTAATGAGAGTAATTGTTAAGTTCGCTCATTAGCATATTAAGAATCATTAATAAGTAGTTGAAGAAGTCATTTGTTAAGTTGCTCTAATTTTTGAACTCAGTCTTCTAATTGTTGAATCTTTAGATCTTGGTCATTGAGTTGGGGTACTACTTGTTCAGGTGGCTCTTCAAGTTTCTCTTCTTCTAAGTCTTCTAGTGTTTCTTCAATTAAAGCACATTCATTACAGGTTCCTTGAGTTTGGTCAAGCTCATCTTGATGCTATACCATTAGACATTCGTTACAAAGATCAACTACAACTATAAAACTTCTCTTTAAGTTAGCTATAGCAGCTTGTCTATTAAAATTAGGGTAGCTAATATCTATGAAGTCTTCTAAGGTCTGTTGTAAGATTGTTTCTTCATCATCATAGAGCATATCTCTTTCTGCTCTTAATAAGAGTAACATTTCATTCATTGACCATTCATAGTTCATCTAGTCATAGGTCTGGGGTTCAAGAGCTTCTTGTATAGTGAGGTCACTTTCCTCAAGTAAGACTTTAGCCAGTCTAAATATTAGGGTTTGATTAAGGTTATATGTACTTCCAGCATGTCATGTAAATTCAGTATAGTGTTTAATTCTAGTTCAGAGATTATAGTTATAGTTATAGAGGATATCAGTATAGGCCTTGTAAGCATACATATGTTCTAGATTACAGAACCATAGGTCCTGAGCACTATTATCTTCAAATAGCATTTGTGATCTTGGCTCTTCTTTTCTACAAACTTT